TAGATACTGGCGATGCACTTCCGGTTAAACAGCGGATGCGCCGCACTCCTGCGGTGTTCAGGGGGAGGAAGAGGGTCATTTAGACAAAATGTTAGAGGCCAGAGTTATCCAGCCATCTTCTTCAGACTGGGCGTCTGCCCCGGTCCTAGTCAGGAAGAAGGATGGTAGTGTCCGCTGGTGCGTGGACTACAGAGCCCTGAATAAGGTGACAGTCAAGGACATGTACCCCCTACCACTCATCGAAGAGTGCATGGACACGCTAGCGGGAAACCGCTGGTTTTCTAAATTGGATGCCAATGCGGCCTATTGGCAAATTAAAATAGCTCCAGAAGACCGGAAAAAGACAGCCTTTAATACCAAATACGGACTATTCGAATTCACAAGTATGGGGTTCGGTCTGTGTAATGCCCCCGCGACCTTCGCTAGGGCCATCAATCTGGTATTGCACAGACTTAACTGGAAAATTGCATTAGCTTTTCTCGATGATGTATTAGTATTAGGGGCTTCAGCACATGCTCACCTTGATAACCTGAGACAAGTGTTTGAGCGATTCCGAGCCTATGGTCTTAAGTTTAAGCCTCGGAAATGCGAGTTATTTAAAACTAGAGTCGAGTTCCTAGGTAGAACCGTGAGCGAGCAAGGAGTCGAGATGGGGGATCAGTACATTGAAGCAGTACGTGACTGGCCTGTTCCTTGCGATGTAAAGGGCGTTGAGCGTTTCTTAGGCTTCGCTAACTATCACCGTAGTTTCATTCCCCAGTTCTCGAGAATTGCGGCTCCGCTGTACGCGGTTACCGGAAAGAGTGGTTTCCGGTGGGGGGCTGAACAACAAAGCACCTTCGAGGAACTTATCCAATTAATGACCAAACCCCCAGTACTTGCTATTCCGAACATTACAGGTCACTTCATTCTGGATACTGATGCCTCGGATCATGCCGTAGGCGGGGAACTTAGCCAAGTCCAGAATGGAAGAGAGCGAACAATTGGGTATGGCAGCGCCGTGCTGTCATCCGAGCAGCGCAGGTATTGCACTACTAGAAAGGAGTTATTGGCGGTAATCAAATTTACCAGACAATTCCGCCATTACCTGCTGGGCAGAGAGTTCACAGTCCGGACAGACCACCATAGCCTGGTCTGGCTGATGAACTTTAAGCATCCGCAAAATCAGATTGCTCGCTGGTTAGAAGAGCTTAGCCAGTACAATATGCGGATAGTACATCGCCCAGGCAAGAAACACGTGAATGCCGATGCGCTGTCTAGAGACATACCAGACACATGCCAGAGTTACTCTACTAAAATCCGAGTTGAAGATTTGCCATGTGGCGGATGCCGGTACTGCCGCCGAGCACATGAGCGCTGGCATGACTTTAATACCGAAATTGACGATGTAATTCCTCTTTCCCAGCTCTTTGAGGAATTGCCTGTTAGAGCGGAGACGCAGTCCGCTGAGGGGGGTAATTATGAGATGTTAGATCCTACTCTCCGTCAGGCTATTGTGACAAGTACTGGGGAAGATGTTCCGTTGGCAGCAGGTGCCCCCGAACTTCCGAGTTTCGAAATCGCTGTCAATGGGGTGTCGAGTTTAAGTCCCGAGATTGAGGAAGTAAAGCCTCAAGTCTGTCAGGTATCTCAGGGTGACACTGCGGGAATTTCCCTATGCTCTTACAGTCCCGCAGATATGGCTCATAAACAGAACTCAGATGAGGCCATGGTTTACCTGAGACAGTACTTAGAGTCTGGGAATTTACCTACCGAAAATGACCTAATCATCTGTAGTCCGGAAGAGAAATGTTACCTTCTGGAGAGAGACTGTTTTACACTGGACGAGACAGGTGTTATTTGGCGAGAACCGGAAGACTCGGACATGCCTCGTAGACTGTTAGTTCCGAGAAGTCTCAGGTCTGAGGTCATGCACTTATGTCATGACATTCCGTCGTCCGGTCACCAAGGTATACAGAGAACTAAAGAGAGACTTAAACAACAGTTCTATTGGTGGCGGATGGTAAAGGACATTAAGTTATATGTCAAGACATGCGACATTTGTGCCCGGAATAAGAGGGGTTCTCTGCCGAATAAATCGGAAATGAAAAGCTACCAGGCCGGAAGTCCGATGGAGAGAGTGCACTTAGACTTCCTTGACCCGCTACCCCGAACAGATAGCGGAAATGAGTATATACTCATGATGGTAGATAACTTTACCAAGTGGGTCGAGTGCATTCCGCTTCCGTCTCAGACAGCAGAAGTCACGGCCAGATCAGCCATAAATGATTTCTTTTCGCGATTTGGCTATCCTTATGAAATTTTTACAGATCAGGGCCGTAATTTTGAAAGTGAGCTTTTCTGTAAAATCTGTACGATGTTAGGTATTCATAAGGCCCGGACCACGCCATACAGACCTTCCAGGAATGGCCAAGTAGAACGGTACAACCGCACCTTAATGGATGCGGTCCGTTGCTATATTGATGGTCAGTCCAAGACATGGGATAGGTTTTTGGGCCCACTGGCTGGGGCATTGCGGTCGGCGGTGAATCGCCACACCAGATATACTCCAAATCGTCTAATGCTGGGTAGAGAAGTCAACATACCAGCAACCTTAATGTTTTCCCCACCCCCTTCGCAGTCTTTTCAAAATGGGGAGGAGGGTGAGGTTGACAGGTATGTACGTGATCTGGAACAGAATGTGCAGAGCGCGCATGACATTGCCCGCAAGAAACTGAAGGTCGCGCAGAAGGCAATGAAAGGTCGCACGACATTAAGATCCGTACCCATAGGTTCAAGGTCGGAGATTTGGTGTATTGGCGCCGCAATGCGGGAAAGAAAGGTAGAATCTATCTGGAAGGGTCCTGGGGTAATTATTGAAGCCAAATCTGATACAATATTTGTCGTCAAATCTCGTCGCGATGTCAAGGTCATGCACCATGACAAGCTTAAGAGGTGTGAGGCCAGGCAACTTCCCAAGTGGTTAGTTACCTATCAGAGTAAGTTGCCAGGACAGTCAGTAAGCCGAAATGGGGATAGTTCCCTTGTGCGCGATGTGGTTAGACCGCTGGTGACCGCGGACTCGGGGTTAAGTCCTGGGGACCCGGGGAGTAGGGTTAAGTCAAAAGTCAGCCCTAAACCAGCAGAAACAGTAGGTCCATATCTGGGTACCCGGAAACGAGTAAGGGAAAGGTCAGAACAAGCAGAAAAACCCAAATCGCCCCAACGACATAGAGCCACTAAGGGGGCTAAGACCCGACAGTATTGTTTATGCCTACAATCCAACCCTAAAGGTTTGATGGTTCAGTGCGACAGTTGCCGGGATTGGTTTCATCCCAGGTGTGTGGGTATAAGTGAGGATTATGCTAAATCAGTACCTCAGTATACTTGCCCCGAATGCAGTCCCGTCAGTGTTGGCAATCCCTAGGTGAGGATCCCGCAAGGGTGCGGAAGCATGTGTAGCTGTTTGCTAGCGTGATTGTACATACGTTCGTTCTTACTGCTAGGGAAGCAGATCTTTTTAATTATAAAGGGATATTGCCCTGATCTTATGATCGATCCACTTGTGATGTTCCTGACGATTTATTTACCCCGATGTTCCAGGGACGATGTATTGGAGCCAGTTCCAGGATGGGTCGTTCGCGACGGAGTCGCGGACGTGATATCATGTCTGTCCTGGGCTCGGATATCCGGATCCGGAAGTGCCGACCGAAGATGTCACCGGAGGACCACCTGATGAGGGAGACAACGATGGACCCAGTGGTGGACCCGAGCGGACTCGGAAGAGGGATGCCCAGGACCAGACTGATGTGATGTATCCTGTGAACTGTGATATTATTAACTGTTAATTTTTATTAATATTATAGTGTTATTATGGACATTAATGTGCAATTGATTATCTGTAATTGTTTTTAATGTGTTAGGCCCTGCTAGGATTTAATTATTATATTTTATTTTATTATGTACATTATAACTTGTCCCATTGTAACGGGCTGGGACGCCCTTTTTCAAAATGGGGAGGAGTGTGGTGGTCTTGGAGGTACTGGGCACGAATTGCCCTGCTATCTCCAACCACGTGGTACACGACACGCACCTGCCGTGACGTGTACCTATCCTCGCTCTCTTTTTCTGTTATCTGCTGCAGAGTGCAGACGTGTCTCTGCCAGCTCCGTTATTATTGTATTTGTAGTTATTATATAGTATATAGCGGGCACTAATAAATCGCGTATTTTATCATAGTGTTGTCTCTATTCAGCCATCACCGTACTTAGGTAATAAGTAGCATATAGTAGAGAGAAACGCTATAACGCTAATACTGACAGACCTGTCACAATTCTTGCAGCGCTCAACTGAACCTTTTCAAGTTTTTCAATATCTGCAAACGAACAGCCTGACCAGACTTCAGATGCATACTCAAGTTGTGGTCGAATAAAGGAAACATAAATTTTGGATAAAGTATCTCTAGACAATGAAAATTTACGTTTCTTGAGAAGTCCAAGTTTTTTGTAGCCTTTACTGACAATACTATTAATGTAATCAGTCCAGACTGACTTAGATGAGAAAATAACACCAAGATGTTTAATATGTTGTGTTACATGACTAATCTATAGTAAGGCGGTAACATTCTGAAAAGTTTAAAACATCCATAAAGACTCAGGTACAATGCTAGTCCGCTCAGATTTTAGAATTAGAAAAGTCGGTTCAGAACCCTTTATACATTCATATGAGAGGATTTTCGGACTTTGCGAAAATTATATCGTATTGAATTAATCTTTTCCATTTCCAACACAGGGTATCTTTCATTCTCGATTCCCCAGACGACAACAGTGAACAGAAATCACTGTTGTTTACTTAAATTGGAAAATGCAACCTAAGAAATTACATGTATTCACTAATTTCATCTTAGTTTGAATCAAAGGGGGGATAACTCTAACTGTGTAAAAGTACTCTTCGATGTGTAATGTATAGAGTTTGAATTTCAAGATACACATGGAGTATGTATCCACACTGCTTACTTTTAGGTTTAAAGGGAAGCAACTCTACAAAGTCAGATGAACCGCCACCGGAAGAAGACGACAAGATTATTCTGATTGTGATCGGGGTCAGTGGGGCTGTCATCATCGTCATTGTTGTCGTCGTCATTGTCGTCAAAAAACGGAGGAAAGCGAACAGTCAGGCCCGAAGGCGTCCGAAAATCCGCTACAACAAAGCATCGGCTGGGACGTCCTAGTAAAAAACCGTGCATATAGAGGTGTCCCGAATGGTCATGTTACTATAAAATCTCAATTCAAAACGTCCAAAACTTAACGATGTGTACGGATGTGTTCCGAGTGGTCATGTTACTATAAAGGCTCGACCAAAACCTCCACAACTTTACGATGTGAAAGATGTGTTCCGAATATAACATTAGGATGAATTATTATTGAGTGAATGGCGTGTGGAAATTTATGTAAATATGTGTGTGTGTGGGTGGTTGTTCGGAGTGATGTTTTGATGTCACGATATCAAACACATTATTTAGAAATGAATGTTACGGAGTATGTATAAGTGATATCCATGTAAGTATTGTTTCGATTGATCAATATGATCAATCAGTATCTAAAAGGAAATATATTCACCTCGCCCTCCGAACTCGGTGAATATTGCTTGCCTCTGAGTGCTTATTGGTCTTGACCAAGTAAATTCAGTTGATGCTTTAAAACATGAACACCACAGACAAATATTTCAGATTAAATTCTCCTCCAATAACACCACAGAAACTTGAATATTCGTCATTACAGTTAGCTGCATCTCAAACAATATGAATACATTAAATGATGAAATGAAATCATAAGGGGCCTGTTTTACGAAAGAACTTACGACTAAGAGCAACATTTAATTCTGCTTCTTGCTTTCTAATTTACATTGATTTGAAAATGCTTTTAGTTTTTTTTTTAAAAAAGAGTTTAACAAGATATTTGTATGCTAGGAATTTCAAACATAATAAATAATTTTGCAAAATTTTACACTCAACTAAAGTTTTGGTCTTATTCGTAAGTTCTTTTGTAAAACGGGCCCCAGTTTATTACTAACTTGGATATTCCTTGTTGTCGGTGATTGTATTATGAACACTTGTAAAACTGTAAGATTTATGTTGACTATATCGAACGAGAAAGATTTCTTAACCGTATGTTAAACATGTACGACCTTTTATCACTATGCTGTTCATTTGTATTATAAGTTCGTTATATTTTACCTATTGTATCCATTGCTATCTTATAAGCTTTATTTAGACTGATGTCTTTATAATTAATAAACTGTCCACTTAACTATTAAAATTCTTGAAATGAGATAACTTATTTTATTCTAAGGAAATGGCGTTCTGATATACCGAAAAATATTTCGAAAACGAATAACATTTTAAAGGATATTTGGAAACCATACTAGAATGGTAATGTTGGACAATGAACTCTGCCTTAACCATGGTAACGCTAACTTTAATAGATGTTATCGTATATGTATAACAACAATTCCACACTTCACAACATTTTTATTACATTTTTGAATGCTTCTTCTCTTAATTAATAATCTAACACCCCCGTTCACTCCCTCCCACCCCCACACCCACACAGACAACATTTAGCTTGGAATGTCTAAATTTACACCCCACTTGGATCAGAAATCTTTTATCATAACCAACAACACCAATAACACGGAATCCTCTACGATCTTGTAACACAGTACATGAATTGTGTCACTAATTATCCTAATTAATAAGATGCTCGGTTATGCTTTATTTTGTCATAAACAGTATAATTGTGTAGTGACATCATCGCTTGTTCTGTGAGGATTCTCTCTCTCTCTCTCTCAATGAATTTTATTTTTAAAATCCTGGAGATCATAAACACTAACAACGATTTATTTAAAATATACTGGCCTTATTAATGCTACAAGGCCTTAAAAAATTCTGTAAAAGTTGTAAATATTTTTTAGCAGAAAAATATAATGAACATTTTATATACCTTTTATTTAAAATTTATTCAAAAGACAAAAGAAATTTAAGATAAATAACAACTATTTATATATTTACAACAAGGAGTGTTCGATCGGTGCAGATCAAGATAATTTCTTCTAAGAGAAAACGATCTACAGTTATACATAGGATTTAACAGGATTGAATGAAGCCTAGGGACGGCTCGTCTTGTTTTCTTTGGACAACAAAGCATGACAAAATACGTCAATAAAACCTGAACCCCGCCCCAAGGGTACAGGGATAATTGCATCATGAAAAGAAAAGTATCTTGTTTCTTCGATCTGAGCCAAAAGTAAAATATTTTATAGCATGATATGTAGCGTTTCTTCAACCTACATGTATCTATAACAGCGATAAGTTTATTTTTCAATAGGTGACAAATGTATATACGATCTCTTGAATAGGGATGGTTGAACTGTTTTCACTGAGATTAATCTGTCTATTTAGATTTGCTTGTAGTGGCATTTTGATCTTAGAAGAAAGTAATGTGCATGTGTGCTTCAGACACGGGGAAGGTCAAGGTCAAAAAAAAATTTGCACCAATATATATATATATTTGAGAAGTGTGAAAAAATATCCTTAAAAATGAAGATCAAGGTTATATTGAAAGTCAAAGTCAGCAATTTAAAAAAAAAATGGACTGCTCTCACAAATGTGTTTAGTTTGAGAAAAATATCTTGAACAGTTCATCTTTGGTGAAAATAAGGCCAAGGTCACAGGCAATGTCAAGGTCAGAAAAGTTTAACTGATAGGATAAATACCTTAATGTATCTTTGTTTCAATCAATTTCTTTGAAACTAAATCCAAATCATGACGGAGCGACGTACAGAAGATTGGAAGGACAGAGGGACGGAGAACATAATGATGAACACTTTCTGCCCTGGTCATATACATTAAGAGAATGGAAATACCATATTAGGGAGTAAAATGTTCTCATGCAGTGAAAGGCAGTGATGAGACCCTGTGATTTACATTTACACACGTGGACACAGACTCGGTCTTTTGAGAAGATCCCGCCAGTTAGAATATTCTGTCCCATTCACAGAAGATATTAAGATTGTTATTTTTTTGGGTTTTTCTTTCATTACACAACATTTGTTTTCTCTCCTTGTGAGTAAATATTGCAGCACAAAACTTGGAAGTGAGTAGCACAGGAACCTCAGCACCAGATCATTATGAAGCGCTGCAAGGAGTAAACGTGATTTTTCAGATTAAGTACCCTGTTGTTTACAATTTTTTTTCTCGGAAACTTCCACATGTACACGTATCAATTCCATGCTGGGACTTTATTTTGTAAGTTCCAGGAACGTTATTTACGTATATTTTATATATAATTGCTGTAAATTATTTCTCTACCACTAACAACTTCATACTGGCAAGCCATCGCCTGAAAGTATCCATGATTTTATTCATCAGACCAATGTCCAAAATCACTGCGTTCTTTCCCTGTGGTAGTTTCACTTTTCCTGAGAGAACGTCCTGCTTTTTCACCTTCGGTGACTTAAATATTTCTTTTAAAATGTTTATACCAACATTGCGAAAGGTTTTCACTTCTTTCGTGTGTTTACGGACGTTTGTCGTTAAAGCGGACCCGTTAGCGTGTTTAAATACGGGAGGTATCTCTGATTGGGTTGTAATATCATTGTTATCTGTTGTGAATGGATCGGGAACCTCTAATTTACTCCTTAAATATGGTGAAGAAGTTGATTCCGATTCTGTCTGCTTTATGTTGCGCGGGAGACCTTTAATACCCGGAGCTTTCTGTCGAACTGTACTTTCGGTGGTACCGGAAGTTAGGAGTGGTACTTTAGAAACGGAATCCTTCACATGATAGGGGGTTGACAACATCACATCGGTGGCATTTATTTGTTTTAGTGTGGGTGGATACACAGTTTTTGTGTACGTCCCTGGGACTTTATTTGGATCAGCATTAATGATATCGGTAAGTGATCTTCTTTGTGTGAAATCTGGCGGGAAGAAGATCTGACTGATTTTGTAAACAGTAGTGGTCAATCCTCTGGGTATGGTCGGATAGTAGAGATTCGGGGTCACTGTCTTAGGCGCCCTAGTGGTTGTTTTTTGTGTTGTCGTTGTTGTTGGTGATGCAGTCGTTGTTGTAACTTTCGTTGGGTTTGTTGTTTTTACTCTTATCGGTGTTGGGGCCGGTATTGGCGATCGTTCATTGGATGGATAAATAGAAGGTACAGGTGGAAACTTAACTGTTGTTTTCTTTTCTGCTCTGTTGATTTCTGGAGGAATTGTTCCTGTCACATTTCTAGATGTTTGATCTCTCTCTGCTGGGCTTGGATTACTGGATGTCTTTTTATTAAGGTTTTTGTAATAAATCGGCGGAGGTGGCGGGGGTGGGGGGAAGGACATCAGAGCAGACATGACCTTTCTGTCTTTTGATTGGTTTGTTGGACGAAGTCGGGTCATGTGAGCTGGAAATGGTCTTACAGTCTGGTGCACCGTCTTAGATGTTGTTGTTTCGATATTCTCAGCTTTTCTTGATATAGCACTGTTACCCTTGAACACATTGACATTTTCTGCACTAAATTCTACAGGATTCATCTTCTCTTTAGCTGTCCTTTGTTTCTTCGTGTTTTCTGACAATCTGTTGTCCAGGTCTATGTTTACCTGAGCATCTGTTTGAGAATGAGTCAAGTCTTGGTTTCCCGCCATTTTGTTTTGAACATCCTGACTTTTTACCAAGTCTCGAGAACGCTTTACTTCCCCCTTTGGACGCGTTTCTTCCCCTTGAGGATTCGTTAATTTCTCTTGTTCTTGTGAAGGTATAAAATTTCCGTCGACCAGCTGTACATTTTCTGTTGCTTTTATAGGTCTCCTTTTGCTTTTATCGCGTTCACGGTTTCCTTTCAGAAGAAATTGTATTTTGGATTCGCCGTTTTTCAGCAATGTCCCCATATTTTCTATTAGACCATTCAAAACAAAATTATGGTGGACCACGTTCTTGACCTCCGTGTAAAGGTCAGTTGAATTCGTCTCATTGTGTGGAACGTATGGCTCAAAAGTGGGCAAATTTTCATCCATGTAAATTTTCCCTCCGTCTTTTCCGACTTGGGTGTTATTGAACTGTGTTACTTTAAAATTAGAAGAGGAGTTACCTTCAACGTTGGTCTTTATTTTGTTCAGACTCGCACTAAGGGGGTGCGACGTCGGACCATGTTCTTTCATTTTGATCTTTGTGTAGGATTCCTCTTTAGGCGATGTACGGTTCAACTTGAGGTTCGTATTGGAGGAAAAATTACCAAAGAACTTTCGTTGAGTGATATCAAGCTTTTCTTTTGCTTTACGTGGTGGATCAACGACATGTGTGACTGATGTCGTCCGAGATCGGAAACTTATTTTTGGCTTCTTAATTTCCAGTTGGCTTGGAGGGTTCTTAGAAAAGCCTTCATATTTATCATTCCTCTCATCCGGGAAGAATATGAGATATGGCACAACGTCTGGAATATCTTCCTCTGAAGGTCTCGGAATCTTTGCAGCTTTAGTTTTAGTTGATACAGCATCTTTAGTTTTAGTTGATACAGCATCTTTAGTTTTTGCTTCTTTTTTAGAAGTTACAGTTGGTAGAGATTCAGTCGTAGGTTTTCGGTCATTTACAGATATCGACATTGACTCAGATATTGATTGTACAGATCCTAGTATTGATCTGTTCTGCCCTTGCTCAGACTCCGCATTTTTTGCTGGGCTAATCGTTGTTATAACAGATCGAGATTTTTGTTCTTCTACACGCCCAGTATTCCGTTCCCTGTTCACGTAAGGGCTCTCAGTTGTGGTGGATTTACGAAGTCCCTTATTTTGTACATTTTCTGTTGCATGAGGTCGTCTGTTCTGTGCCCTGATATACGGACTCACAGTTGTGGTAGATATACGGAGTCCATTAATTTGTACATTTTCTGTTGTATGAGGTCGTCTTTTCTGTGCCCTGGTAAACGGACTCTCAGTTGTGGTCGTTTTACGGAGTCCCTTCTTTTGTTCACTAGCTGTCGTATGCGGTAGTCTATTTTGTACCCTGATATACGGACTCACAGTTGTGGTTGTTTTCCCAAGTCTTTTATTCCCTACACTGACTGTGGTATAAGGTCCTCTGTTGTGTACCCTAGTATAAGGACTAGACGCTGCGGCTGTTATTCGAGGTCGCTTCCTTGTCCCCAGAAATTTGCTGAACTTGGAAAAGAATGTCGGTCCTTTATCGTACGGTACATTTATTGAGACTGGAGGTGGAGGAGGCGGCATGATAAACTTCCCTGTGTGTACTTGTT